AAAAAAAAAAAAAAAAAATAGGCTCATAGTTCCAGGCAGTTCAAGTTCCTCCCTCAAGCCAGCAGTCTCATCCACCCAGCAAGTCAGCCTGTCACTGCTCCCCAAAATCTTGATGGAGCCTTAAGCACAGCCTAGTCTCTAACAGCCACCTCATACCTGAACCTGCCAAAAGAAGCCATCCACCACACTCAAGTCGTTCCAATGACAAGGAATTCACCACCTCCTAAAGCAGCAACCTTTTTTATCTTTGGACAACTCTTGAGAATTAGACAGTTCTCCCTTACACTCATGAAGACCTCCCCAAGCCAGGTGTGGTGGCACACACCTGCAGTCCTAGCTCCTCGGGAGGCTGAACCAGGAGGATCACTTGAGCACAGGAGTTCGAGGCTGCCATGAGCTATAAGCATGCCACTGTACACCAGCCTGGATGCCGGAGCAAGACGCGGTCGCTAAAAAACAAAAGGACTTACCTCTCCAGAGGGCTGATCGTAGCCCTACCTTATCCCTCCGTGCCATTTAGAAAAGGCTCTGGAAGAGGAAAAGCCACCTCTGCAGACCACATACTACGCCCGGTGTGAGCTTGAGTTTACTGTGCCACCGAAGCCTCACAGTCACACAAGACACAGGTCCTGCTATTAGCCCTCTCTGATGGCAACGGGGTCCCTAAAACTTATGAGACCAAGTGATCTAGCTGGTACCAGGAAGCGGCAAATTTCAATCCCGAGCTGGAAGACCTCGAAACACCTTCCTTCCACACTGCTTTAGTGGTTATGTTCCCAACATTCCTCTCTCTCCCCCAGACATCTAACCATCAGCAGCGACAGGCTCAATTCAGAAGCCATCCTGCCTTGGCCAGAGTGGCCCTTACCTGTCTCCGCAGCTCCAAGGATGTCCAGTTTGTCACGGATGGCAGGTGCCAAGGTCAGGGCTTGGATTGGTGTGGGTGCAGAGAAGCCTAGAAAGCTGAGGGCTCGGAGCACTGGCTTAGGCACAAACAGGTTCTTCCAAGCTGAAACATCTGCCTTCTGGTCATGAACTTCAGGCATCCATGTCTTTGCTTTTTTGGGCTCCTGAGCGGCAGTGCTCTGGGAGGGCTTCGGCTTTTTCTTCCCTTTCTTCTTCTTCTTTTTTGGAGTCGTCTGGACCAGATTTCCTGATGCCACCTCCCCTACCTGCACACCAGGACAAACGGCGCCATCACCCTGGGGTGCAGGTTCAGCATCTTTGGCTTCGAGCTCATTCTGGGAACTGGTCCCTTCAGCTGCCACATCTTTACACTTCTTCAGTTTGGTCTTTTTCCTTGGGGAGCTCGACTCTCCTTCCTCCTCTTCTTGTGAAACAGCTGGTGCCTTTCTCTTCTTGGGTTCCCCCTTTGAGAAGAGATTGGAGGGACTCTTGGCTGGGGAGACCAACCGGTAATCTGTCAGCTCCTCAAAGCACACCAAGTCGTCCATCTGTCCATCGGCGAACACGTTTGGGTCAATCTTCACCTGCTTCCATTTCCCCACAACTCTGATTCCCTTTGTCTGCAATTTGCCATAGCTGGGTGGCTTTGGCCTAGATTTCGCCTCTTTCAACTTCATGGTTGCTGAAAAGAAAAAGAAATGTCTGATTAGGTTGACAATTAAGAAGCACAGGGTTCTGATGCAGGCCACGTCTTCGAAGCCACCTCTCAAGTACAAGGCCCTGCAAAAAGCTGACCACACAATGACAGCTACATCACAGAGGCACTGAGCCTGAGAAGATCAAAGTCCAAAGAAATACCGGGAAACAAGCAGCTTTGCCAGGAGCAGAGGGTACCAGGAGACACAACAAGGACGTATGAGCTGGACCTGGGGAGTTCGGGCTCCCACACTCCCTGCCTGCGCCACTCACCCCTCCTGAACCTCAGCGCTCCCATCTACAAGTCGGGGAGCAGCCTAGTCACCCCCCATTTCTGGGGTACAATTCCGGATTCTACAAGTCGGGGAGGGACCTAGCAATACCTAATTTTTTTTTTACTTGCATTTTAAAGGCGCGGGGTGCAGTGCAGGATTAGGGAGCACAAGTGGCCGTCGCACAGGTCGAGGGTGGGCCTCCCTCCGGCCTCCTCCGCTCAGCCTGAGGCGAGGCCCGCTTAGGGCTGTGACGTCCCGCGCCCCCCGTCCCTTCCGGACGGCGTCACGCCAAGTGCCGGGGCCGCGTGGGAGCGGGAACACGCGGCCCTCCGCTCTCGGGGCGACCCAGGCCGCAGACGCTGACGTCATCCGGCGGCGGCCG